AAACACCACTTTGCACTTAGGCAGCCCCCCCCTCCGCAACTTTCACAGCGCTTTAAAATCACCTTGCGAGATTTGCCGGCTCCACACCCCCCAACACCAAGGCAGCGTTGGGGCTACTCTGCGGTGCCAGGGACACAGCAGAGCATGGGGAGACAGCAGAGCATGGCAGCGGGTGTGAGCCCTCATGCAGCTCAGCCAGCCTAAACCTACCCGTGATTAAAACCCAGCCTTCCCGGTGAGGTTTAACACTGCTTCAGAAGCACACCCATCCCAAACCAACTGGCAATAACCAACTTCTGGGGAAGAACCAGCAAAAAGGGCTTTACCTTTGGAGCACCATGGGACAGAGCAGGGTTTGGCAGAAATATTTTAAGCCCAGATGAGACCCCCCCGACTGGGACTGCTCCCTCAGGCAGGAGAAAGCTCAGAGCAGAAAGAGCAGGGGCTGGATCTGAGCGTGTATAAGTGTGCCTTTTTCTGGGTGACAGATAAATTATTGAGCACCCCGGTGTTGTATTATGCATTCAGACATCCTCCGCAGCCTGCACCGCACCGGCTGCCGAGCTGCGAGCCGCTTTCGGGGGCTCTTGAGCAGCGCAGCTCCGACAGCCGACACAACAGGCTGGGGAAGTGTGAGTGGCACACGCTGCCCGGAGGGACACCCTGGGTGACAGTAACACAGTCCGAAGGGGCACTCGCACTGAGGATCCAAAGGGCTCTCAAGACTCTGAGGAAAGATTTTGTTTCTTTTTGCTGGTGAAACCTCCTGTTTTGAGGATGAAGTGGGAGGTGGTGAGAGGGGCTGCAGGGATGAGAGGCGATGCCACCATCGGCAGCAAGCCCGTGAATCCCAGCGGGAAGCAAACGCAGAGGAGAGGTGGCCGGTGAAATCCTGAGACAACATCAAGCACTAATACCCAGCGAGCGCTGCCACAGACGTCCACGTGGCAAAACACCAGCAGCCCAGCCCAGCGCCAACAGGACACTGGGCACCAAAACGGACCCAGGACCTGTGCCAAGGCACGTCCTGTCCCTGTGAAAGGCCAGAGCAGCCCCTGCAAAGCTCCAGTGTCAGCCCCTCTCCAGTGTCACCCCCTCCCCAGCGTCACCCCCTTCCACTCTCAGCTTTTAGATTCAAATCACAAGCTTCTCATTAGCACGCGTTTGCATGTTAATGACATGTCTTACAGTAAGAAGCCTTTCCATCTTGTGACATTGCTTCTCCTTTCCTCCTGCGCCCCCGACTTCCTATTAATGTGTCTTCTCAGCTCACATGACGACTTCAACAGCTAATTCTCATGTCACCTCTTCTGAGAGTTACAGCCTTTGCACCAAACACTGTGCCAGGAGAGAAAACACCTGGAGAGCGAGAGGGACCAAGCCTTTTAGAAACACCAACTGCGGGTGTTTCACCAGACACTAACACACTTCTGAGCTTCCTAGCAGGAAGAGATGCCTTTAAGACAAAAAAGGTAAATATTAAATTAGACACTAAACCTCGCTCCAAAAAAACCCATGAAGTGATCCAACATCTTCAGCAAACCACTGGACAGGCTCCATCACATTTGCGGTCAGGTCCCCACAGGGCTGAGGCTGTTTGGTTTTCGAGCACCCCCACATGCTGCTGTGATCCCACAGCACGGGCACGGTGTGGAGCTCCGCAGTGAGCTGTCCTCGCTCCAATTTGTAGCTTTTCCTAAAGCACCTTCCAGGGTTAACCTGAGCCCGTGTCTATGTTCGGAAAGGTCACCCTGCCGGGCACGTTACATGCTGGCACCCACCAGCGCCGGTGCCACAAGTTACAGCGACCAGAGGCAGCAGACTGACAGGCAACGGCCATGGTAAAGCAGAATGACGAGGAGGATCAGGGCTGTGGCTTCGGTCTGTCCATGAACAGCTACTTGTCCAAAAGGCCAGGAGCTGCTGCTGCCCAAGTTCAGCATCCGAGTGTGCACAAAATGCGGGTGCAGAGACCCCCGGGGAGCTTGTCCCCTCCCCAGCATCGCGGGCAGGAACGGGGAAACTCAAAGGGCTGCGTGAACAATGCATTTCCCCAGAGCCACCGGCTGGTTTTGCTCACAATCCCTTTGCCCCGTCCTTCCCCTGGGAGCCCTGCCCTGGGGAGCCCAAAGAAGCAGGCTCCTGGCATGGCAGCCCCTCAGTACCCAGTGTGCCGAGGGCAGGAGCGGCTCAGCCGTGCGCTTGCCGGGTCATGGGGAGCAGGCAGTGCTCAGTCGTCGCTTCTCCGAGCCGCTCTCTTGCTCCTGCATGATGCGTCAGGGCCTGCAACCACCTCTGGAAGTGCCGTGGAACCATGCAGCGTCCCACGTTTCCCCCCAACCCCGTGTGTCAGCTCAGTTGAGCTGCTGCCCATCAAGGGCCGAGCCGGCCCCAGGGCCAGGTCCTGCATCTCCTCGCAGGCAAAGGCATCCCCACAGCTGGCCCAGGCCGGGTGCTACTTCCCCACAGCTGACCCCTCTCTACACCCACCTTGGAGCCGCAGGCCCCCCCAACCCACACCCACACCCCGTGCATCTTCCTCGTTAGCACTTTGCACCATCACGCTCATTTTCAGAAGGCTTTGGTGACAGCGTGGTTGCCTGAAACCCCAGTTGGCACCAGCTGAGACTTGAGGACCAGCCCTTCTCCTGTCCCCGCCACCCCCCAGGGTGCCCTTGGTGGGTGCTGTCCCCCCACCCCGGCTCGAAAAGGCAGCAAGAGGCACAGCCTGCCTGAACATTCGGGAGGGCTCCTGTCCCCAGGACCCCGCTAGCAGCACCTGATGTCCCCCCATGCTGTGACCGAAACCCCAGCCACCTCTCGCCCCGGTCCCACACAGCCACCATCAGCTTTCGTGACGCAGAGCAGGACGTTAAACGCTCAGGACAGCGCAGGTTTACAGCCAGAGAGAGGCTTCGCACTGCTGTTACCGCAGCAAGAGAAGGGTCTCTGAGGGCTGGCGGGGAACAGCGATGGCCACCAGCCTTGCAGCGCCGTGCTCCATGGACCCTTGTCCTTCCTCACGCCTCAGCTCTGTGCTCGGTCCCTTGTGGGAGGGGAATAAAGTTCGGGGTCTTTATGGAGACCCCGGACCCGAGGCGGTGAGGAGGTGTCCGTGATAATGGCACAAGCCAACCACTAGCATGAACCTCTAAACCCAGAGCTGCCTGGCAGTCCCCCTAAGCCATCAAGGGATGCGAACGATGCCGTTTTCTGAGCGTCAGGATCACCACAGGATATTCCAGATGGAGCCATTCAGTTCAACATTTGCCAAGGAACTGAAGGGAGAGCAGCGCTGGGACCCCCAACAGCCCCTCTGCCCCCCC